TACTATGCCACAAGCCTTCTCAAACAACAAAAAGTGTTCCTTAATCTACCATTTATGCACATGGAAAAGAATTTGCTCGGGAGGGAGGGGAAAAATGAGGCCCTAATGTCGGGGGTTTAAGTGGAGAGAAAATGTTTTGAGAAATGATGTACAAATGCGCTTTACACAATTGATGGGTGTATGGATTGCGATAACAGTTGTATGAGCCCCTAATACAATGTTTAAAAAAACAAAAACAAAACGATGTCCCTCGACTGAGAACGTGTGGCACTGCAGCTTGAACTTTAACCTCCACCACTCACTCATCCAACCCTTACACAACTCGGTCTCCTGCGCGCTCGCGCCCGCCCCGGGCACGGCGGAAAGGGTCAACACGGGGGTGGCGCGCGCCTGGGCACACCTCCAGCCTGGCCACACTCGGCCGACGTCCCAAGAGCCCCCGAGCGACGAGCCGGCGGGCGACGGCGGCGGCACTGGTCGGAGGCGCCATCGGAAAGCCTGTTCGCGGGGCAGGTCCCCAAGACCCGGCAAGCGCCCCTCCCCGGTCGGGGTCCCTGTTCCTCAGTCCCCCACCCCCTTGCAATGCCCAAGTCCACGGCCCTCACGATTCTAGCTCCGGGGACGCGGCCGCCACACGGGGTCCGCGAGCCGCCCCTCGCGGGCGAGGCACTTACGGCCCGGAGGGACGCCAAGCCCGCCAGTCGCAGCGGCGCCGCCCTCCTCACGGTCGCCATCTCGGCCCCGCTCTCCCCACGTGACCGCCCGCCGGTGCCACGTGACCGCGGCCGCCGAGGGCCCGCCCTGCGGGAGGCGGGGCTTCCGGGAGGACGGCGAGGACGTTCGCCCAGGCTCCGCCTCCAGCCCTTGTCCCTTTGGGATGGATCTAACCCGGTCTGACCTGGTTTACTGTGACCCAGGATTCTGACGTATAGCTTACTCATTATTTACCAGCATCTGTTGTCTTTTGGTGGGAGATAAAGATGAACAAGTATTAGAGTCTCTTGTTTCATGCATTCGTACGTAGTCTGAGAAAACACAGTAATCAGAAAAAGTAGTTATGTCATTACAATATGTCATTACACTTACTGTTTGCTTGGCGCTGTTCTGAATTCTTTGCATGTATTAACTCAAATTTATCAGGATCTTGAGAATTAAAATTCAGACGACTGACGCCGCCGAAGAAGGTATGAAATCAAATCGATGCCGTCTTTGGCGTCAAATGTCTGAATTTGTTCAAGCTGTAAACTCAATCCAGGTAAAAAGGATGCAAGAAAACCTTTCCAGACAGAGGGAGTGGTAGATGCAATGAGTCCTGAAGTAAGGAAAGTAAGGGGATTCATGCCAACTGCCTTCTCTTTTTACCTTCAGGAAATCGAAAATACCAGAGTTCAATGTGTGAGTAGAGGAGCTAAGGGCTGTTTGGTAAAATGTTCGTTTGTTCAAAAGTCAATCAGATTGCAATATAAGATAGCGTTCTTACTGTGGATTACGATCAGAAATGTTTCAAAAAAAACTTGGTTTTAGTCAAATGTCAAGGCGGCCAGAATGATTGGGGAGCAGGAGGGAGTAAAAAGGCAACTCACGATAGAATTGGGGAGGCCGAGGTTGGCAGAGGCCATACCACAGGGCTTTGGAGAACACCTCAAGAACAGCTCTAAGAGCAATGCTTTTGAAGGGTTTCATTCCCTGTGCATGGGAGTCCCCGTAAGTCCCGGAGCTGACTCTGTGGCAGCTAGCAAGCAGGGAGACCGGATTAAGCTTGCATTTTGTACACAGTCTTTGTGCCTAAGGTATGGCTAGCCAACTGGTCAGCGCACTGACGCTGGCATTCTCGGGGGAGACCGGATTGTTCTGCCTCCTAGGAGCTCAGGTTGTAGCTAGGGAAACAACATGTTCAGTGTTCTGTTAGACCTCCGTGACCAGAAATTCTCACAGGATTCTGGACCTGTAACCACAATGTAGTCCAAAGGTGTTAGCATGGTGTTTCAGTCTTTTAAAAAGGGATGCATGAGTTTTAAGCAAAGCCTCTCCTTGCGAGTTTCCCAACTCCACTTGTGTCATGGGTGGCCCCTTCACTTGGTGCCATCTGCTCGCTGGCAAATTGCAAATGTAAATTTTTTACAAGCCTAACTAAGGTAAGTGTCTGTAGAACAGAGGTTTTAACTGGTTGGTCACTGTGGTGTCTCCAATTCCAAATAATATGAGCAACTGTGCCGAAGCTCTGCCTGGGGTCACCCAGGGGTGAGATCTTATTTTAACCAAGGTGTTTTCTTGGTTTGCACTGTAACCTGCTCTCACGGAGACTATAATAGTAACATGCATTAAGCATCTTTTATATATCAGTCATGATATGTAGGTGCTTCACGTAAGTTATCACAACTACAAGACCGATACGAACTCCACTTTGCATTTTAGAGATGGGGAAGCTGAAGCTCTAGAGAAGTCGAGCACCTTTCCTAAGACCACATATGGTGGTAAATTCAGCCCCCATCTGACTCCAGGCCAAGCCTTTCTTTCAACTGCATGCTCCCACGATTTCTCTTTCCTCTTCGTTCTTGCTGGACTCTATAAATAATATAAAATAATGTACTAGAAAAGATAGGGTGCTGCTGCTAATGCGGGCTAGATTCTGTCTGGGACTATAATAGTCAGCAATCTTCAGGACGATTCCATGCAACTCTCCTTGGCTTTCTGATTTTGTTGTATCAGCTTTTCTTATTGGCTTTACTCTTCATTTTTAATTGCTTGTGAAGCTGTTTGGGCAAACTAAGGTTTTTAGCTTGCTTTAGGCAAGCCTGTGTGCCTCTTCCAGCGTCATTCAATATTCCAGTGTCATTCAGCATTCCGTCTATAGAATCTCTCAGTATGGCAACTTGAAGCCTACTTTTTTTTCTTTAGTTCTTGAGAAGTGCCAAGCCTGTGCCTCCCTTTTGGGTTTACTTCCCTCTTAAACTCCAGGTCTTTTGCACCATTTCATTATTATATATTACTTCGTCTTCCCGAGCTGGTCTTTGAAAACTCCTGTGCAGCTTTACTTCCTCGTTTCTTTCATTCGCCATCGCTACTGTATGTTCAAGAACAAGCTTCAGAGTCTCTTCTGACATCCGTGTGGGCTTTTTCTTTCTTTCTTTCCTGGCTTTCTAATGACCTTTTGCTTTCTTCCTGCATGATGCCCTTGATCCGTCCCACAGACCATCTGGCCTTTGGTCATTAGTGTTCAGTCTGGTCTTGAGGTGGCCTCTAAATTCAGGTGGGATCCACTCAAGGTCGGAATTTAGTTCTCATGGACGTGCTACCATGCTGCTGGGGACACTGAGTGTCTCCAGTGCTTCCACGATGTCATCAGTTTGGTTCGTATGTATTGCATCTGATGAGGTGTGTATAGTTGCTATACGTGCTACTGGAAAATAAGTAAGTTACTGGTCTTGCAGAATTCTTTCCTTCCAACTCTGGCTTTGTTTCTAGCATGGAAGCTTTCTTTTCCAACTGCTGGTCCTTGTTTCCAATGTTTGCATGCTAATCACCAGTAATTATCAACACATGTTCATTACATGCTTCATCAATTTTAGGCTGCACAAGTTGGAAAGAAAATCTCAATGTTTTTTGTCTCTGTGGTGGCAGGTGTATAGATTTACATAATAGTCAGAGTAACTGGTCTTTTCAGTAGACGTATATAATCCTATCACTGACGGGGTTGTACCTCAGGGGAGACCTTAAAAACCAGACAATGAATGAAGCAACAGAGAAGAATGGATGCATTTGAATTATAGTGTTGGCAAGGAACATTACATAATTCATTAAAATTAATATTGAAATATTAAACAT